GCGTTAGCCCGTGCCGCCCGCAGCCTCGCACCGTCGCGCCGACGTCGACCCAGCGACGACACCGGCAAGAATCACATGAGGCCGACCCACAATTCTCGTAGGCCAACTTGGGTCGTGCCAAGAAAATCGGTACAGCGTCGCGGCCTAGGCAAGGCCACCCCACCCGCAAACGCCGTGCCTCCTCTGCGACTGCACGGCCGCCGCTGGCGCCAACACCACCGACTGCCTAGCACTGCTGACTTGCCCCCAACCTCCTCATCCAACTTCCAAGCCTGTCTGGGTGAGCGCGGCGCGTGCGACGGCACCGTGTGTACATGTGCACCGGCTTCTCCGGCTGTGGGATGAGTTCCACACCCCCAATCATATGAGCGGAGAGCAGGGCAGAGAAGCCGAGCACGTACGCTAATTCTCCCCCTAATTCTGCGTCTTCCGGCTAGCAAAGCAGGATCACCTGCTGGCTGCTGCCGAGCCGCTCCGCGACGGCGTTGCGGTAAAAGACGAGACGAGACGACAAAACGTATTTAACATATTTGAGGTTCTGGAGCGGAGAGACAAAGCGTGGAATATTGAAGCGAAGAACTCGGTATAGATTAGTTTTCCAATTGAAAAATAGATTATCTGAACCCATATCGACTAGTACTAGTATATAAGCTGACTTGGCAAAGGCATGCTTTCCTCTCCTCGCACGGATAAAACGCATGGGCCCCTAACCAAAACCTAACCCCTGGCAAGAAAACAAAAGGTGTCAACTCATCCTATGTGGCTACCAAAAAGGACAGGCCGACCAAAGAAAAATAAAATACAAAGGCGATCACTAACACTAACTTTGGTGGATGAAATTAGGCCTCTTTTGGCACCATATCTGTTGGCAGCAGGGGGGGTTAAAGCATAAACAGTACGGCAACAAGATTCCACTTGAGCAGTCGACAACTCGATATTGCCCAGACGACTCCTTCACTTTCAAACGATTTGCTACTAACTAGTAGGGTGCCCGTGCGTTGCTACGGGGAATTTTGTTGATCACGGAGGATAAAATCTGGCGTTGAAAAGACAAATATAGCATCGTAAGGAAACTACATTCAACATAATTTAATTAGTGTTCAGAACAACTCGCTGACTAAAATTTAAGGAGCAGGCAACAGTAATGCTCAAACTCTTTACCTAAGATGACTTCATGGTTATTACCAAATGCATGTACAACATGCAAAAAACTTTACAAGTGGTTTGACAAACTGAAATTTGCAATTAAATAAAATAGCCAGTTGAGCAAAACATATTAATCCCTGACCTAATCTGAATCCGAAGCTCCTTTCACATGGAGCAAATTACTGATCAAATGTGCTCCGTTACAAATCAGTACTCACAGTTCCTGGCTCCTGCTTACGTCCTCACACAAAACTTAACACTCACTGAAGACCTGCATATTATATGAATATTCATGTTTCTTGATTCTAAAAATAAAGACATCACTGATTTGACTCTCTTGCTAGAAACATCAAATAGTTTGGCAGAAGTGAGCTTAGCATGAGCAGGGAAAACTCATACCAAAATAATGATAGAAACAAAAATTGTATAATTTTTTTCTTTGATAAAGATCAAAGTTTTATTTGATATAGTAATAGGCTAATAGCATGAGCTCAAATGTTGGCTTTCAGTTCAGATGATCTCCACTCAAGTGTTATTCAGTACCCCACTGGAAACTGGACTGCCACAACATGATTACAAGAAATGCTAAACTGCAATTGGAAATCTGAACTAAAGCAGAACCTCATAAATCTGCTAACATCAGTACTAAGCTGCAAGACATGTACAAACCAACTACGATTGTTTTAAAAAAGAAGAAGAAATAACTGTCAGCTTACAAGTAAGGACTTCATCTTGAATTTGTTCATAACAGTGAATTGCTTCATCCTGGACCTGGCTGCTTCTCTCCTATTAGCAAAGAATAAGAAATAATGAGCAAGGGAAGAGCTGCCAGGGTGGTTCACCAAGGACTGATAGAAAAATATCTTTACCTGATCACCTGCAACTCCTCGGCGAGCAGCCGACTACAACGGTTTTGGTCTCTGAGTCAGCCATAACGAGGAGGCGGCCGGAGGGACTGCTCGGGGAAGGAGTGGATGTAGGCATATACAGGAGAAGGGGCAGACCAAGAAAGTAAATGTTTACTGCTGTCCAAGGAAAAAAACTCAAGAAATGTTAGACATGGAATATAAAAATTACAGTAAGAATGGAATTTAAGCAAGCATATTGTGGACGGTTAATTAGTCACATAATATACCTTTTCTAATCTGTGAGGACCTCTCTATACACAATATTTTTTGTGTATGTTGCAGCTTGTTTAGACAATTCCTTTCCTTTCTTCTCATTGTCCTTCACGCCAGTACGCTTAGACTTTTTCTTTTGTTTCTTGTCTTCTACCGGCATCGATAGTATTTTTATGTTTGTTCTAGAGGTTGCTCTTGACAGTGCAACGTATAGTTGACCATGGGAGAAGACAGGCTCTGGTAAGTAGACGCCTGCATTTGGAATTGTTTGACCCTGCGCCTTATTGATGGTCAATGCAAAGCTCAATCTAACCGGAAATTGCTTCCTCTTGAAGCGAAATGGGAACATCTCATCATCAGAAGGACATAGAGGTATCCGAGGAAGGAAAACTCTCTTTCCAGCATGCTGCCCTACAACAATCTCCGCGTCAATAGCATTTTTTCCGAACTGACGAACCACCAGCCTTGTCCCATTGCAAAGTCCGTTGGCTGTTGGCTGGGTCAATGTTCCTCAAAAGCATGATGGGGCAGTTTATCTTCAGCTTAAGCAGATGCGGAGGTAGCCCATTTGGAGTTAGAGAGTTCAAGAATTTTGGCGGGTAATAGTTATGAGGGTCATCCTCTGCTCAGTCAAAACTATGATATGTCATCACATCTCCTCTAAACCGCTCAATCATCTTCATGTTTATTCGATCGACGAACTCATTCCGAGTGGACAATATGGCCCTACATATGATGTAGTTTGGGTCCGTCAGGTTATCGTTTAGGTTAGGGAACACGGTATCGATGAGCCTTTCGAGGTCCGTTTCATTCCCTTTGCACTCTAAGCAAATATCCGAAGGAAGGCCTATGTTTCCTTCCTTGTTCACCTCCTCGGTTCCATTCCCAACTCGAAGGAGGTAGTCCGCAAACCACGCGTCGCTCTGCGCCCTCATATTGCGAACAAGCTTTAATTGAACCATACAATCCCAAAGATAGGACCTGCGTAGAGTGGCTTCTGTTATCTGAGACCTAGTGCCCTTCCTAATGACCGGGAGCACCTGCCTGAAATCCCCTCCAAACACAATCGTCTTCCCTCCAAACGGAGAACGTGGACAACCCATTATATCTCTCATGCTCATATCGAGGGCCTCAACCGCTTGCCTCTTTGTCATGGAGGCCTCATCCCATATTATAAGCGATGCCATCTGGAGAAGCTTTGCCGTCCCACTTTGTTTGGTGAAGCTGCAATACGACCCTTCCTCAATGTTGAGTGGGATCTTGAACCGCGAATGTGCGGTCCGGCCTGCTGGCATTATAGAAGCTGCAACACCCGACGTCGCGGTTGCCACCTCTATATCACCATTGCCACGCACTGTAGCTAGTAGCGCCCTATATAGGAAAGTCTTCCCCGTGCCTCCTGGGCCATCTACGAAGAACACGCTCCCCTGAGCACTACCAACCGCGTTCATGATTTTATTGAATGCAGACCTTTGCTCATCATTGAGCTGGTCTGGGAGGTTCATATCATCTCTCTCCACAACAATGGAAGACTCCTCAATAATCTCTCTGGGATCTCCTCGAGTACTATCATGTGATTCATCTATTTCAGGGAGCGGGAACGATGAGATTTCCTTACCCATTGATTGTAGCATGCCCCGGATATCTATCAGCACCATCTGTTGGACAGCATAAGGGCATGCGTTGTTACATCTGACATGGAATCTAGATGCTTGTCCCAAAGTGCACGGACATCGGTAGGTTCGCAGTACACCAATATGGTAGCGAATAACCTGCGTAGCGACGCCGGCATTTGGTAGACACCGGCCTCCGTAAGGCACTCGTCGAGGGTGTTGTCTGCCTCTATAAGACCCCTTCTTTCAGCTGCAGCACGGAACGACGGCATGAGCACACCATCAACAGTACGTAGGTCTTCAAATGAGGTGGATCCTGTCACATGGTTTAGAAGCACCCGAAGATAGTAGCGCTCCCCCTCTGCCGGGTGGGCACACACAATTCTCCCGACCTGGCCACCTCTATCTCTTTTCTTCCAGTACTTACCTGGCGTCTGCCAAGTAAACCACATTGGGAAATCTCTATAAAGGATATCTCGAGCCTAGACATGCTGCCTGTTAGCCTCGAAATACGCCGTAAGCATCGATCTGCCTGCGTCTTCCTTATCCAGAACATCACGGAGATCCTTGTCTGCATCGAAAGCCAACATGTGCATGTTTGGCAGATGCAATTGCAACTGCCTCACAGACGGCGAGATGTGGCATATGTCAAAACCATATATACGCCACAAGGCTTCTGGAGGGGTCACCCACCTCGCATCCCTGTAGCGCTGAATCTCATCGATTTCACCGTTTTTATCTGCCTCGTTTATGGATATCGAGGCCTTGTCATGTCCCTTGTAAAGGTATTTAAAGAGGTACTTTACTGCCTTGATGCTCGAGCAAATCTCGACATTCATGTGACAGTTGTACATCCGTAGAAGATAAGGATTGTACGGGACAACCCACCTGTTATCGAGAGGATGTCCTCTAACCACCTTACTCTTACTGTCATTACGTCTCCTATACAACGGGTATGAATCCTTGCCTTGCGAGGTTGTGGTGTTGAACTCTCGTAGGTAGTTGTTCCTGCACTTTCCATCTCGCATGCATTGGCACCTACCGTTGAGTCGACCACAAGGGCCATGCATCATATGCTTGACAACCATATTGTATAGCTCTGGATATTTTTTCTTGTCCGGTAGCTCAGCTGAGACGATGCGGTCATATTGCTCTGCAGACGTTAGCTTGTATCGACCACTCATGATCAGCAAAAAGTGTGCGTGTGGCAGACCCCTCTTCTGGAACTCAACAACATATACGTGTGCAATGACTTTGCCAAGGATGTGCTTCTCGAACAGCTGCTTCTTTAGGTCCTCTAACTTGGCTCGAAAGACACGGACCACGAGATCAAGACGATCTTGTGGTGTCTGGCCAGGCTCAAGTTCACGAGTAATCTCATCCTACTTGGGGTTGCTAGTCATTGTAAGGAATACATCTGGCTTCCCGTACTTCTATACTAAAGCCATGGCATCCATGTATCGACGCTTCATATTTCGGCCACCACAGACAAACAAAGCTGGCAACACAGTTCTTTTGCCAACCGCGCTTGCTCGACTCTCCCCAGCCTGGATGCTATCCATCAACCCTTGATACAGGTCCGCCCTTATCTCCTTCTGGTTGTTCCTCACATAGTCTAGACGGGAGCTCTCAACCTTGATGTACATGTCAACGGCAAACTGCTGGAACAGGAGTCCGCCGTGAAGTATAGGATTGAAAATCCCACGACGCATCTGGAATTTATAGCAGTAGTAGTCCCTTACAGAGACTCGTATCCTGCTGTTACAATCTACACGTGAGAAACATCTAGGTTAGTACAGTCATGTAACGCACAATGATCAATTCTCTAAGGCAACATAGTACGAAGATAAACTTACCAGGATCATCGCCATTCCGTGCGTTTGCATCCTCCATGGTTATTTTGTCCTTTGGAAGGCTTTGATGCCAACCATTCTCTCTAGGGAAGAAAAGAGGGTACGAGAGGGGATCATAACATTCGTAGAAAGGCTGGATAGATTTCCGCGTACGGTTGTTCCTGTATATTGTCACGCTAGGCTCGAACTTCCTTCTCTCATTTCCCTCAACCCAGATAGCAGCGACCTCAGTTGTCACCGGCACATTGTAACGCCTTTGGTGCAACCTATGATCCAGATTTAGTGTCACGCGATAATTCGCGAGGTCTTCAGCCTGCCCTAGACTTCTAAATGTCTCCGAGTACGGGTTGTTCCGAAGGACGTCTGCAACAGTCCTAATCACATCCTGGTCAAGGCTAGGGGAACGTTGGAATCTATGACTCAATGTTGGATCGTCATCGTAGAAATACAACTCGAGATGCTCTGGACCAGAATCTCTAGGACTGAAAGAATGTATATTATGATATATCTGACCATGAGCCCGAAAAGTGTACACGCCCGAACTCATGTTTGCAAAGGCCTTGTCAAGGCTTACACCAAGGGTAGTGAATGAGAAGTGGCCGTTGAAGTATCTATTGTTATCACGGAAATGCTTGGCGTCTGGATCCGAGCTTGTCCAAAGCCTCATCAGTTCAGGAGGTGTTTCATTTTGTACAAGCTTGATCTTGCCACCCCGACAACAGAAGCTCGGCGGTTCGTACTGGAACCTCTTGGCACCACAGTGTTTACAGTCAGGTTCAGGCTTCAGAACATTTGTGCTTTGTGGAATGTTGCTGTACATATAGTCATACGGATCAGGAACAGAAGAGGTCGGTGATTGCGTGTCATCGTCATCAGATTGTACCATCTCGTCATCCTCATCGTCGCCTGGTATGGTTTAGCGCAAAGGATTTATAGTCCGCAAAAATTATACATGTGAAAGAGACATTAAGATATCACGACGACGATACCTAGCCCAGCAAACATGTAGTATTCATCGTCGGAGTCATCATCCATGAAGGAATCCATATCATCTTTAGTACAATGAGATATGAGAAGTTAGTATGCGGAAGGGTACAAATTATAGGGGAATTTAACTAATTGCCACTTTTAGGTTTGGCAGTTATCCAAATTCCCTTGTTACGTTTCTTAACTAATTGGCACTTTTGCCATGGATTGCCACATGGCCAACAGTGACAAATAGTTAAGAAGCCACCATCTAAGAGGGGCAAAAAATTAAGAGCAAACTTAAGAAGGGCATTTGGATAGTTGCCAAATCTAAAAGTGGAATATAGTTAAATTCCCCCAAATTGCGAGTACGAATGAAAACATATATAGATGATACCATCATTGAATGTGCATGATCGCGCCTGATGATCTACAGCATGCTCAGTTTGCAGGCTCGATGTAGATGGCACATCACCGGTTGTTTCCAAGCAAGGCGTTGGATTTAGCAACAATGGGATAGATCCCTCAGGGCACTCTAGTGCAATGGATTCAGCGCATGGTTTGTCACGCCTAGCTGCATAGAGTGCGTTACGTCGTGCCAGATGAGCAGATCTTTCCCCAGGAGTAACATTTTGTCGTCTTGATCTACGGCAAGCATTCATATCATGGATTTCCACATCTGGCATAGATTGCCTTGCAACCCTACGACGGGCATTCAACTCTAGTCTCTGTTCTTTTGTTAGTGATTGACGTTGTGTTCTCCGTTGGTCCACCTTAGCTTGCTTTTGCTCCGGTGTAAGAGTTGCATACTTCTCCCTAGCTCGAGCTAGCTTTGACTGCAATCGTTCTTTTGTCTCATTGGTTGGCGCACGCACCAATTCATTATCTAGTGATGTGCCAACATCATCATGAGTAGATTTATGGGATTGTTTGCTCACTTCAAATATTAAATTGTACAAACATGAATAGATAATAATAACTAACTTAGCGCACTTCTCATATGTAAGCAAAGAGGTTTTATGTTTGACAAGTTTATATAAAAAAAACATGTGATGAAGTAAAATGTGTTACCTAGAGAGATGTCGTCATCGTGGTCGCACTCATTTTGATCGCTGCCTTCAAAAAAACTGGATTCATATTGATTTTCACATCCTGTTGTAACATAGTCAGTAATATATATTGTAATATAGAAATTTATAAATGGCAACAGCATTGTAATCCCATTAATAAAAAGATATTAGCATACCTGAATTATCAACTACAAAGTCAGAAGTATTCATGTTTAGGTACTTTGAGTGAAGCGACTCATTGGTACTTCGTTGGGACCATAGTGAGCTACATTGTTGATGATTGTAAATGGGAGACGTCTTGGTGTGATATTAAGATGGGAAGCTTCACTTTCTATTTAAACATAGAACTATCAATTTCCATTCAGTCGAATAATATATTGTTCAACCAAACTGTACAAACAATAAAGACATTACTTCCTTGATGCAGCGGGGAAGAATCAGTCACTTCCAATTGGCACTTCATTATATCAACAGCGCTTATATTTGAAATATCGCCAAGTGGGGCTGTTCACACGACGAGAATTTATAATATTGTTTCGCATAATTGGCCAGACATATTTTAATTTGTACAGATAAATATTACAGTTGTACCTGAAACTTGAGTTTCCTCCTTCTTTCTTTTCCTTCTTTCACGTGCCTTCTTGTTCCTATCATCTTTTTGCTCTGGGGTCAATGCTGCGTACCGGTCTCTAGCACGCTTTCTTTTTAGTTCAGCCACACTAAGGTGACTAACATCTTCATGCAAACCTGTACACATATGCACATTGCTGGGTGTATTGAAGGACGCATCGCGGTTTTCCGCACATGGATGACTATTAGGCGTCACCACAGGATGCACAACTTCATGGCCAGCATCACAAGTTTATACTCATCACATTGGTGTTGGTGGATACAGATTGAGATTGAATTAAAATAGGAAACAAGCAATATGTAAAAGATACCATTTGAAGCAGTTGGGAGTGTTATTTGTAAAGACATCACAATTCTCGTCGTATCTTTCAACGGCACGTAACGACTTGTTTCCAACCTTGCCCCGTCAATTTGCCAAACCGGAACCACTTATATTGGTTATGTCAGCAAGAGGGCCTAAGAAAGGAACACATGGGTGAAATTAGCATGCAAAGAGTTTACATTCGAGTTAATAACATGCACATAGCTAACCTGATTTTGTAGTTGATGTTGTGGAGCCCCCAACAATCTTATCCATTTCTGAAAAACAAAACACATCAGACCGCCTAAATGCAGTAATCACACTTCATTGAGTCTGGATGTTTTCATCAGTAACTTCACAACTCAGACACAGACATGTAAAACCAGTAACTTCACAACTCAGATATATATCGTTGGAGAGTGTAATATTCCTAGAGTGATGGCAGTGAAAAGTAATAGGAGATATTTACTGAATCCAATATAAAACATGTGTGGCAGTAACAGACATATATTTGGTGCATATGTTAAAAAATAAATTAATCAGAGACATGACATCCCACAAGAAGCATCAGTTTATAAACTGTAAAACCAGGTTATATACTACCTGAAATTAAAGCAACAAAATTGGATTTTCTCGGGGAAAGTGAACATTAGGGGTTAAAATTTACCTAGAAAGGATATATATAGAGAGGTGCAGCACTAAAAACACCAGGATGGCTGTAGCCTACAAGAAGATAAATTAGACATAGAATGAGAAAACAGAGAATGAAACAGCAGTGAGCTAGCCTAGACAGTGCTGATTCTTCTTAATTGATCTCACACTGCACCCCGAGAGAAGAATATGGCGATCTGGGGGGAGGGGGAACCTTGCAATTAACGAAGGAATGGGAAGGGGAGGGAGAGATGTTTACCTGGCTAGCGGCGTGGGGGCGAGGAGGCGCGAAGGGGACCAGACGACGAGTAATCGACGACGACTTGTTGGAAACCCAATGTAAGAAATTCAATCAAATGCTGAAAAATTAAATGATAAATTATAAATCAGAGAAACCCAGTGTAAGATGAAGCTTCATTCTGAAATGCAATAAAAAGGGATTGCCTTCATGATAAGCAAAATGTATATAACAGTATCTGACCAACCGGTACGTCCTATCACTAAACATAAACCAAATGTACCTTATCCTATCCTATCCAACAGCCACCAAAATTTCAATCCCCTAAAATATTCACCCATATAGATGTGGGGAAGATGAGGCCACCGGCGTGAAGGATCGACTCACAAACCAAATGAAACTTATCCTATCCTATCCAACAATCACCCAAAATTCAATCCCCTAAATATTCACCCATACAGATGTGGGGAAGATGAGGCCACCGGCGTGAAGGATTGACTCACAGGCGGACGAGGGTGCAAAGAAGAGCCTCCAAGTAATGCATAATGCATAATAATATGGTATATAATGCATATATCCATGACACACAAAATAATTCACAATGGCGTTGATATCAATATTTATTACATATATTTACACTGTTTCTCATCGAGATTGATACTTCTTAATTGTAATTTGTGAGAATGTTGTACCATAGGATATCAAACATCTAGTATTTGCCCCCATTTAATATTTGCTTTCTCTAATCTGATAGCCCAAAAAAAAAAACTGCCAGGATCCCACATAATAACACATTTACTCCTCTTCGATGCATGTGGCCAGATCCTTATATTGGTTCAAAATTACTTTCAGGATAACAGAGGGAAATTATCAGTGTTTTTTCACCATCCATGTGTGTACTGACGTTGTGACTCTCAGAGCAAACCTCTTGCTATTGTGTGTTATGCATCACCACGCAATGCAGACTGAACTGGAGTTCTTTTTTTTGTTTTGAGAAATTCATCGACACTGACGTATACTTAAAATTCTCGTGCCATTTGCAAAGCGGAAATTTCAAACCAGGAAAAGAAGACTAATTTAAATGAGACACACACACCTGAAACACTGATCTGATGTTGAGGAGGCCGGAAGCTGGCAGCAATATTCTGAAGTTAAATTCAACTGCAATATAGGAACGTCAGCACATCTACTGTCAGAAAATTAGATGAGTCAATCTGTAATTGTTGTCATACAGATTTAGTTTATTAGCATCTAATAAGTATTGGATGTGACTCAACAGAAAAGTGATTACATCGGATGCAAAAGCTGAAGAGCAATTTGAAGTGTCATTAGTCATTACCTGTTATTAGATACAAATCATGAGTTTAGGGATCCCAACAGCGTTGTCCATTGCTGTAGGCCAAGGCGTGGAGATCAATAACCACCTGCACACATACAGTAGCATATAGTTTAAAAGAATACGGATCGATTGCTAGATTCCACAGCCTCAGCCGTGCCGTGGGACCGAGAAAGGATCAGTGGCAGTGAGAAGCAGTCACCGTGTAAGGCGTCGGCGGCGTCCTGGCGACGGGTACCCTGACAAAACATGCCGTTGCCAGCTGTCGAACTCCAAATTAGGTGCTTACAATTTACAAGATCAAAACTGATTGCTCTATCGGAACTATGGACAGCACAAAATAATCCGTCAGTGGTTGTTAAAATGCATTTTACTGGGTTAAAGAAGCCGATGCTGGATGAGCAGGGTGTGATTCACTATATCATTGGGGATTTTGACACTGGATTCTAAAGTTTTTCCATGAACAGAGTGGCAGATTGTTTCTGCGGCATTCAATCGAACACCTCATGTGCATGGGCAAAATAGCTTTACTCGTTCATCGCAATCAAAATCAATTGGGTAGTATAAGTCAAAATAGTTTGCTCATCACAATCAAAATCAAATCGGAAGGGAGAAGAGATTGAAAGACAACAAAAGAGAAAACTTGCCGTACAGCTCTACTGGCCTCAAACCACCTCTCCGCTCGGTCTCGGCATTGTAGCGGCGTGAATCCCTTTCCTCAGGCGCTCGGGAAGATGATGTCGATGACCGCGGCGGAGGTGGCGGCTGAGGGGATAAGCGTCGAAGCAGAGGAGGCGGGGCGGCGGGCGATATAGCGCGGAGGCGACCACGAGAAGATGGATGAAACAGCGATGGGGGAGGTGGCGCGGGTGTGGGAGATCGGCTTGGGGTGGGGGGGGGGGGGCGACGACGACTCAGGCGACTCCGGATCGGTGGCGGCGAAGCCGTCGGCACACGCGGAGGCGGTCGACAAGTCGGAGATTGGGGGCGGCGCGGAGGACACCGGCGAGGTGGGAGACGGCGCGGGCGGCGATTAGGGTGCGGGCGTGCGGCGTTGGAGGTTGTTGAGGGGGAGAGAAACGCTAAAAAAAAACAGGGTGTGCGAACGATGGGGATGCGGATGCGGGGGCATGCAAACGACGGGAAAGACGATATGAGCCGTTGGATTTAGCGATCGGATGGCTCATACTCCGCGTGTCTGCCAGTGTTGGAGTCACCGCCACCACTATAGAATTTTAAAATAGCAGAGATAGAGCACTTGCCCACACCCTATACAGTATGCCACTAACTTTTAACTTGCTGTTTCTGGCTTTCATTCGGTGACGGACGGCATGATGCATGCATGTGACCCTTACTTCGCTAATGATTTTCAGGCAGTTCTTAGATCAGCTTTGCATTCCACTTGGTTAATCTGCAAGACTACAAGAGGGTTTAATCTGCAGGTTAGGTCTTCTACTTGCTAGAGGGTAGGAGAAGGCTCTGATTTAATATTACAAGTTTTTAGAGGTGGGGTCTTCCTCAGCTCATTTGACATCACGATGTTCCAATTAAATTGGCATTTTCACCGCACAACGCCGGCCACAGGCCGCAAATGCTCTCCATTGAATAATCCCAAACTTTGTGTTGCGCCGCGCAGCGCGTGCTTTGCTTTGTCATCAAAATTTTCTGAAATTTATCAACTTCCCGTCTCAATCGTCAGAGTATACTACTAATATAACAGCCACAGGACAATAACTCTGTCTTGTTCGATTGGTCTTCCGCTTTTTGTTCTTACTTTCGGTAAACAAATGATTTGTCTCCAAAGATCTGGTATGGGTTAATCTGGCCCTTTTCTTGGAGTCGGAGGCCATGGTTTCTGACTATCGGGGTGGTTTTGCCCCTAATCCGGTTATTAGTTGTCTCCCATGTCTTGCAGTGTAAATGTTTCTCATCTGAAAATCGGGTGATTGTTTACAACAACCGTGATGGTGAGTTCTTTATTAGTAGTAATTAATTATTAGCTGCTGTCTAGGTAGCCCAAGAGCGACCTGTGAATCTATGATTAGTTGTTGTTTGATGGTTAAGCTCTGCCAATGGTAGAGTTTTCGTAGAGGAGAGGGCAGCCGTCTATTAACTATATTCAATAGGAGTACATCTCCTTTTAGCACTAACCTTAGTACAGTACCTCGAAAGTAAAATCAAATTTTGGATCTAAAAATATAATAATTAGATCCTGAGATAACGAAATCCAAGCAAATCAAATCAAACTCAGGTTTGTAGGCGTACTTAAAGGAAGTTGCACCGGCCTATTCCACATGAGAACAATATCTCGGTTGCACACAAGGGATGCGTGAGTTCTTGCCACTCACGAAAGCAATTCTTTGGACCCCATAAAACAAGCATCTTTCAACATCTTCACCTAATCTTTGGCCATAATCTTTCGTTCGCTTGTTTTGATTTAACCGTATATGAATAATTATTCTTGTGCCTCAAAACCATCCACCCAGGTCGGCATAATCTGTTGATGTCTCATCATTTGTTGGTGGAGCAGAAGAAGAAAGGAGTTTTAGATGTAGCCTCTGCATGCAAACCTCAAATATTCAGTCTGACACGAACCTACAACTCATTAAGTTATTTTAATCTAACTATATTCGCTTTGTTCTTCTCTGGTTTCTTGGTTTATGTTGGTTTGGGGAGGCAGTTAAGTGTTGCCGTCATCTGCTAGAGGGACTTGCACACTATTATTAGGGATGAGAAATGATGCACCAGGACTTCCGATTGACTCTGCATCACCGTGAAGCCGAGGCCTAAGCAACACAAATTAATGCTCTTTTCAATTATTGAGCTGTATAACTCCAAATAATTGAGTATCCAAGCAAGCGATTGTTGGTCAATTGATCGACCTCTGGATAAGAGTCTAGAAGAAAAAACGGGAAACTAATTATTATTCCGATAAGAAACCAATAGCTCTGCTGCTAGCTTCCTTCCTTGCACAGAAGAGACTCTTCACTCTACACTCCAAGCCTTAATCAACACACATCATTGAGAAATAAAGAAAAAAGGGAATCTTACTTCTAGTTTCTCTATCAAGGTGATATGCAGGCTTCATCTTGGCGTCCTCTGTACAAAATAAAATTTTGAAGGGCCACAGACTAACTACGTACGCTAGTGACCTAGCGTGTCACGGGCTTACGGCTCACACAGGTCACACATTTTCCTGTGAAAGAGCAGAAGAGAAATTGGTGGTGATAATCCAAGTGGCAATTCTGCTATTCTCTGGATAGAACATCCTGGAGTGCCTTTGTGCCTTTCCCCTTCTGTTTTATTTTCTATCATATGCATATGCATAACAGGTGCATGATTCTGACTTTAAGAGGGAAAAAAAAGGACCCTTCCTAATGCAGCTAATTATGTTAGTCCCAAACTCCCAATTGCTCAAGAACGAATAATAAACTCAACGATAAGCTTGCTGACGTCTATGCAGGAAATTTATTTTCGCCCTTATATATGATCTCTTTGTTGGGATGGAGCCATGAAAATTCTGTTGGTTTCCCGCCCTGTTTTGTTGAGATAGGCCAGCTCTACTAGATTTATAATCTTTACTTGAACAAGAAGACTAAATATTCTTGGAAGAGAAGCCGTGAGCATCCAAATTGTAGGAGCAGATGCATGCAACTTATTCTTTTTATCAAATTACTAATTTCAGGAATTTGTGCTATCATGGACGGTACTAATAAAATGTTGGCAATACAAAAATGTTTACCAGCGACAAAATGTCAGTATCCCCACAGAGAAACACTAGTTACAAATAATATCCTTTTATACGTTTGCATAAACTTATCCTAGTGAAGTATATTTAAAAAAACATATTCTAGTAGCACGTACTCTAGGTCCTTGGATCACACAATTATAAATACTGAGGACACTTCCAGTTCATGACAAATTCTTGTGCACTCATTCCGAATACATGGTGCAAATGATCCTAAAAATTGATGAAATAATTTGACAAAGTCGATGTATCATTTTAAATATTTTGAAATCGACGTGCACAAGCCCAAGACAAGCAATTTTAGTTTGTTATTTTGAATTTATTTATAAATATTTTTCCCCCTCTAGGCCTCTACTGAACAAATTTAGACCCTTTTTTTTCTAGGTAGATATGCATATTCGGAATTGATCATCCACCGCCCACTAAACAGAAAACACAAACTATATGAAAGCAGGCCCTACGAACACATTCTTTTCATCTCAACCACAAACGATGTAGTACAAATTTAGAGGGGAAATAAATCTTAAAACCGCATGAAACGCAAATTTCGTTTAGCAGGTCAACAACCAAAAACCGTCTCCTCTGCTCTGTATAAAAGCCACCCACAAAACCCCCACGAAACTTGTCCCCCAAACAACCCCATCCCCAAGAAACTAAACCTCATCCCCGCCCCCACCCATGTCCGACCACCACCACCTCACCGGCGACCACCACCCCTCCCCGGCGAGCGCCGCCACCACCGCTCTAGGTCCCCTGCTCCTCCTCCCGTCGGAGCTCCTCCACGACATCCTCATCCGCCTCGCCCTCCCGGAGCTCCTCCGCGTCCGCTCCGTCGCGCGCCCGCTCTCCCACGTCATCTCCTCCCCGGACTTCCGCCGCCTGTACCACCTCTCCTCCGCCGCCTCCGGGCCAGGCCCCGCGGCCGCGTGGCTCCTCGTCTTCAAGAAGCTCCGCCCCCGCGACGCCGCGCTCCGGGGGTTCCATGGGCCGTCCGGCCGCTGGTTCCGCATCCCCGTCTCCGCCATCCTCGCGCCCGCGGTGCCACCCGGCGAGGACCTCTACTTCCTGGCCGCGTCCGGCAGCTCCTTCCTCTTCGCCGCCAACGGCCGCCGCGAGCTCGTCGTCGTCGACCTCTCGGCGCACGCCGCCCGCCGCCTCCCGCCGTCCCCGCTCGGCCCCCGCGGCACCTCCTCCTGGCGCCGCTTCGGCCTCAAGCTCGTCGCCGATCCCCCCGGGTCGAGCCAGTTTAGGTACCCGTCTTTTTCTCGCCCGAGGATTCTGGAAATCTTCCAAATAGTAATTACGTAATTAATTACTGTTACGTATTACTCCACTCCACTACTACTACTGTGCATTGCTGAAGAACAGTCAAACTCAATTGTTAATTGGTTGATTACTGTTAACTTACAAGGTTTCTGTTCGCTGAGCTGGTGAACAACACGCCACTCCTCTTCGAGTACCAGTCCGAGACGGACACGTGGCAGTCATCGGAGGCGGTCCAGGCGGAGGGGGCGTCGACGGCGGCCGGGACGGAGGGGACGTTCCTGTGCGCGGCGCACGCCGGGCCGGACTGCGTGATGGTGTACTCCGGGCCGGGCGTGGAGCGGCCGGTCTTCTTCCGGCCGCGGTTCCCGCACAACCCGAACGGCGGCGGCGACAGGCTCCACGTGTACGGCGACGGGAGCGCCGCGGTGGTCCGGTCGACGGTGATCGACGAGCCGGGCAGGCCGCGGGTGAAGGTGGTGGCCGGCGTGGACCTGTACGGGTTCGGGTCGGTCGTCGGCGGCGACTGGCAGCTGGCCTCCACCGTGCCGGGCGAGCTGGTGGAGGGGTTCCGGAAGCCGTACGCCGTGATGACCGGGCTGCTGTCGGAGCGGGAGGGCGTGGTCCGGCTCGTCCTCATCTCCAACTGCCGTGGCGCCTGGGACATCGTGTGGCTGTCGTACGACCGCGCCCGCGGCGAGTGGTGGTGGGTGCCCGTGCCGGACTGGGGCACCAAGGGGCTCAACGTGGCCGGAATCGCCGTCTCCTCCACCTTCTCCCGCCTCTGGCCGCCGGCCGCCGCCTCGTCCTGCACCACCACCACCTCCCAGTGAACCGAACTCGCCGGCGTCTCTGCGTCACCGTGCGGCTTACGGCGAGCGGTGGGGAATTGGATTGTTAGGCCCAACGTGGCAATGGGCCCCGCACCCGTGTAAGTGGTGGGCCTCCTCCCCCGTGCCCGTGGGGCCGTCGCATAATGCGACATGATCTTGCACAATGGCTTCTCCGATGGCGACAAATCGTCGAGTGCGAGTGAGTGTGCTTCAGATAAGGAGGGGTGTACTGGCGTGCGTGCAAGCACTCTTCTCTATAGTTCTCTTTTAGTATCACTGTTCATTGTTCATAAGCCGTGTGAGTGTAGCTTTGTGTTCATCTTCTCGTAAACCAAGTAAAAAGGGCAGGCTGGTACTCTGTTCTCGATTAGTTGCAGAACTCCATCCAGGTGTGGCTTTTATGTGACAGTTTTGCAGCCGTAAAAGATTACGGATTACCTTATCTTAAACGCAGTTGCAGATCGGGTAGAATACTTGTTCTCTCACAACACATCATTCTTATGTCAGAGGAAGGTGGTTTCTGGACAGTTTGATGCCTGTTTTGTTGACGTGTCCGCTTAATTGCTTTGGTCAAGTCTATGATGCTTCTGTTGTTGCAGAGTACTGAGAACGACTAATGGGAGAAAATTGATCACATGCTTCTGTACTGGCAAACGAGAAAGCGTAGGTAGAATAGGAGAGTTTTGGACCTGAATTTAGGTGATCTGTCCACGTCGAGTTACTGCATTTACCTTTTACTAGCTTTTGCCCTAAAGAAGAATGGCTCACAAAGTTTCTAAGATACATTAGGCGGCTAGGCTTCATCCGCACGGATTTATGCACAAACGGATGGACCAAACACTCGTTAAAAACAAGGCTCAGCATCAGAATTGCAAAATTCCAACGGAGTGAACGAGCAAGCGGGCTCACATAAGGCATGGATCGTACTAAACAGCAGGCAACGATGAGAATCTAAATCTAACTAGTACGGAGTATCTCTAGGAATTTGGCGACAAAATCAACCAATACGTCCGGCAAGTGTTGCAGACTTGCAGCCGAGCAACCGATGGATGGATTGCTCATGTACATCAGTATCATGCATCTGCTGAACCGGCACAAAAAAGACGGACTCACATGCATCTGGTATTTTGGCCTCTCGGCTGGCCAGTCATTAGTCATCACTGGGCTTCGGACTTCAGAATTCTTCTCATGTCATAGTCAAATAGGAAAGGAAGTGAGAATGGATGGATGATAAGTTTGATGTGATCCGGTACTTGAAATGGCAGACACAGAATCCGCCCTAGATCACTTGGTGCGTGGTTAGCAATAAGATTGGAGAATTACCATAAAAAATATTAGTATAAGCCCTGGAATCAATATAAGTGATATTTGCTGGAATAGTGATCTTATTCCCTTTGAGCTCTCAGCCATTGCTTGTTTGATCCTGCCATAGCCTGTTATGACATCATTTCAGTTAATTAGAGCAATGGGATAACAAGAGCTTACCAATTGACATGGCCCACTTCAATAGGCAAGCAAAATCCATTCACAAGGAAAATTTTGCAAGGCGTGGGAAACCTATTCATTCATTCTCCCTGCCAGAACGGTTGAATTTCCACAATGGCGTTCAGTGCACTTGTCAAAATTTGCATACGTTACAAACAAAATAAACAGGCAGCTTGATTCTGCGCACTGTTACAAACTTGAGAAACCGTGAATTGTTTCATCACCATTATTTCTACCCACTGCAATCATTCTCCTACCTATCGATTGACTTTGTCAAAGAAAGATGAATCTAATTACTTGGAGATGAGTTTGATGGTGAACTCTCAGTTGCAGTAGCTTCGCTCTCTATAGTGCCGTTTGTGTGCTCCACCAATACATCAGCCTCAGGAGCCTTGAGCAGGGAAGGATCTACCTTCTCTTTTGCAGACATATCCCTTTTGAGATCTTCCTTAGCCAAGCTAGAGAATTGCTTGTCTAGTGAACTTGCCGCGCCTAGCCATGCTAGAACAATCACCAACAGTATGCCACCAAGGTAGGGGGTGGAGTTAGCTAAAGAGCCAAATGTAAGGATCATGAACTGTTGAATAAGAGCTCCACCAGACTTCCCCAATGGGTTGCAGACAACATCAATGGCTGCCTTTCCCTTCACCTGCAAACAGAGGAAGCAGAGTTGGCTTCTGCAGCATAATTGGTGGTGCAAACTCGCCCTAGTGCTTTGTACAAAGCCCACAACATCAAACTTTATGGATAGAGAACTGACATTCAGTTCAAACTGCTCAATTGCTCATGCCAATGGATTGCACTTATTGGTGTAACTAAAGCAAATATGATGCAATGAATGGAAGCAGGTAAACACAGGCAATGTTATCTTACAACTACAGGATCAAGACAGAAGCTTTAAATTACTTAACAGATACTAGTTCATCAAGAATTGCTAGATAATTTCTAAATGATGCACATGGGATATGCATATATGAAGCAACAAACTGCTTAAATGAATCACGAGAGTATACAAAGCAGAATAATGCGCAAAAATATTTTTAAATGTTCATCGTCGAATCACATGAATAAATATGCAATCTGGTATAGAAGCAAACCTTCATATCTTCATCCAAAGGAATGTAGGCCATTTCTTTGCATGGATCAAATAAACTATACTTTGCACTCTTGCTGAATATGTTCTGAAGTGCACCCACATAAACTGCTGCAAGAAGAGGGGTCATGCCCATTGTGGCAAGCATAGGAGTGAGAGGCTGCCCAAATAGAATCAGGGAGAAGAAACCGACGCCAGTCAGCAACAAAACTGTGGGGGTGATCATTGCAGCCACTCCCCAGCCGAATTTTCGGAGTATGATCCGGCCTAACAGCATCATTGTGAAAGTAGCAATGCCAGTAGCGGTTGAGAAATCACCCATGAAAGATGAATACTCATTTGGACTAGGGAACTGCCATGATGAAGAAAGAAATACTTAATTAGAAAAACTGTTTGACAAATTAATCTGAAGATGAAACAAACAAAGCTGAGAAAGTTACCTGTGCCTTGAGCTTCGATTTCCATGTGACCTCCACAAGGTTGATACTGATGCCATATGCAACCACTAAAGTAGCAAGGTCCCTTACATATCTTGAGGAGAGGAGAACTTTAAGACTCTCTTTCATTCCAAGCTTAGGTTTATCCTGTTGAAAAAAAACGTTAGTGCATTATTTGTAGTAGTAGTAGTAAAAAAAAAAAAGAAGCACATTTAACTATTCGGCTGACCTTTTTCTTCTTACGGTCAGACTTCGGAAGAGAAGGATCATTCAAAACAAACTTGTTCACCCCCCAATAGATGGAAGTGATGACAAGTCCAAGAAGCACCACTAAGCTCATCATTCCTTTCAAAGACACCTCCCATCCGTCAATACCTGGACCCAATGTCTTGCGCAGATTTGAGAAATACTTCACAGTACGCCCAGAAAAGATGAGCGCAATATTAGCCCCAAGACCAAATAGAGGGTAGAATTCTTTTGCTTCCTCAACTGTAGTAATCTGCAGAAGGATGGATGAAATCAGTTGTAGCCTGAAGGGTCACCATTTGATGGGAAGTTCAGAAAATATTAAACAGGTATATACAACCAAACGTCAGACAACACTAGAAAACCCCATCCAGCTTGCAACCAATTGACAGTTATACACCTCTGGTCAAGCTTCGTGAACAACAAAAAACAACCACTGTGAACTCTGCATAACTGAGGACATTGATCACCTACCATTCAGATGTAATTCTGAAATCAAATAGCTGAGGACACACGTGTTATTCGGATGCACCAACATTACTCATTCAGGCATGACCAACAGCCCACAAAGCCACTCTGGCAAATGGCCCAGAAAAAAAAAACTCTATATCCCCTATGCAGAATTATTCAGTCAGAGAGTTGACACAATCTATTCCACCGTCTTCTCTCAGATAGATATAAGAGAGAAGTTCAAACATTTGTACTTGTGAAATAATGCCATTCTATCACCTAGATTGTCTTGAATTATTATCAGCTAGCTACTCATGGTTGTGTAGAGTATCCCTATCTCCTGAAAAGCTTGTTTCTGTCTTTGTTTTCTCTTATTTTAAATCTTGCCCTAAGTATTTCTTCCCCCTCTTGAACTTCCAGCAAGGATCCTCCCTACTGTTTCACACAAATGAAATGTATGTATAAAACTATCCAATATAAGCATTCAGGCATTCCTTTGTGGGAAGAAAAGTAGCCATAATATGGCCACATGTTATGTTAAAGGCTGCAGCTTGTTTGGTTTGGTAGTACCAAAATTGGCTAGGGTTTCATCTGCAACTCTGGCCCTCAAAACAAACAGGCCCACATCAATCAACATTACTTATTGCAAAAGCAGTTAAAAAGTGTGAACCATATCCAGGCAAGTGGTTGTAAAAGAACGCATATCACAACAAAAATGCAACTTAACCAACTAAATATAATTCAGATTAACAAAAGCTAGCAAAGTAGCAATCATGAAGTTGAAGGCATTCATGCCAGAAAGCAACAAGCACCTAGACTTAGCCAATAGGTTTGACAATACACTGAGCAATACTACTAAATACTAATCAAACCAACGTTTCTGTAACTACCCATTATCCCAAGAGCACATCCTAATTTCTGACGGAGTGACAGAAACCCAACAACAAACTCTGCTCCTTCATGTTTTGCTCTCCACAGCCAAACATCAGGTTAAACATTAGCTAATGAGATGGCCATCAATTTTTGACTGAAAATAGACAATAAATTGACATTTGCACATGCCTAGATTGACCACAAAAATCCAAACCCATGACTCACCTGGTTAGCGAAGCCCCAGAAGAGGACCGAGATGACGACGCTGCCCCACAGTTCGGCCATGACATAGAACAAGCAAAAGCTCCAAATCCTCAGAATGGCGACGGGGCCAAGAAAGCTCGGGCCGAGCGCCGCAAGGAGCTTGTCGGCGAGCGCGGTGGGGTGGATCACATTCCTGAGAGGGTAGAGCACGAAGGCAAAGGCGCCGAAGAAGGCGATGAAGGGGAAGATGACGGTGTAGAAGAGCGCCTCCCTGGAGAGCACATTGGAGAGCTTGGTGTAGAGGAGCATGAAGCCGATGGCCATGGGCAGGTTGACCCACGTCTTGAGGAACGGGATGATCTCCGCGCTGCTCCCCTTGGCGGTCACCACCAGCACGTCCTTGGTGTCCCGCAGGATCGTGTAGTTGAACAAGATGCAGAAGAACATCAACCCGAGCGGCACGATCTTCTTCAGCGTCTTCACCTCCACGCCGAGGAACTTCTTCCCCTCCGGCTGCGCCGCCGGCACCGCCCCCGCCGCCGCCGCCGCGGCAGGCTGCGCGCCGCAAGAGACCCCACCACCACCACCACCACTAGCGCCGCTCCTCCGTCTCAAGAGCCCGCACCCCAATCCCAACCCCACGACGGCGTCCCGCGAGGTAGGGCCGCTTCTCGAAGCGAGGAGGAGCGGGGACTGGAGCGATACGGGGGCCGCCGGGGAGGAGGGGAGGGAGACGCGCGCGGATCGCGCGCGCGGGAGCGGGAGGCGGAGCCCCGCGCGGGGAGGGAGGCCGCCGGGCTTGGCGTGGAGGAGCGCGAGCGACTCCATGGGCGGCGCCGCTGCTCTCCGGGCTCCGCGAGACGCGAGGTGGGGGGAGGCGGAGGGAGGGAAAGGAGGAGGAGGAGGAGTAGGTCGGGGGGAACTTTGGGAGTAATAAAAGATCGCGCACTGACCAAGCCCCGGCGGGATCGGCCGTCGGTTCGCGAGGCGGACGACGATCCTGGCCGTTGGCTTGGGTACTGGGGTTGGTGGGGGTGCGTGGAACGAGACAGCCGCCGCCCGCCCTACGCAGTCAGCGGCGCCGTGGCTCGCCGGGTGTTTTGTAGGAGTAACTCATTCCCTTTTTGTTTCTGTGCGTTAGAGGAGTTTGTTTACAAACTTCCATGTTAAATCTCCTCTATTTTTATTTATTTTGGTTGAAACTTGAAAAACATGAAGTGGTAACATATTTTCTCTCAATCGAAAACTGAGGTTTTAAATCAAATGAAGACCACCCTTCTGTCCTTCTGTGGCTGTGTTTGCAACTCTCTTTTCCCAGCCCCTCTCCATCGTTTTTCGCGCGCACGCTTTTCAAATTGCTAAACGGTGTGTTTTTTAAAAAAATTTATATATGAAAGTTGTTTTAAAAAATCAAATTAATCTATTTTTTTAAAAAAAATTAGCTTATATTTAATTAATCATACGCTAATGAATCGCTCCGTTTTCCGTGCGGAGGGAATATGTTCCTATCCACCTTATGCGAACACAGCCTAAAGAGGCATGAGGGTATTTTGGACAGGTACAACAAACTTCACTACCCAAAATACCCTCATTTGAAGTATCATTTGTGGAGATATTGTGTATTTGTGTTTAAAGAATTTTGGGTAATACAATGAACCTTTGAAGTATCATTTGTGGAGATATATTGTGTTTAAACTATAATAGACTATAGGACAATCATTTCATTTTATACTCCTCAGATCGTAAAATAATGGAAAAAATTATTGCTTTCCGGAGGATTTTTTTTATAACTAGTAGTATATTAATTTGATCACTAAATTGTATATTTACACATATACTCCATCCGTTTCACAATGTAAGTTATTCTAACATTTTTCACATTCACATTGAAGAAAGTACATGAGAAATGGCATATAAGTGTAATAATATTATGAAAGGACTGAAACTTGCTCAGCATTTGATTGCACATCATTCATTAATTAGGTGATCTAGCTTTCTGATCGATCAACTAGCCCAAAACTAATATAATGAAATTTAATTTCATTATGCATAATGAGAGCGACATGCATGGTCCGACGGTCTGTTGGTCCATACGAATCAACAATTCATGAATCATTTGTTGAATCCAGATCATTATTTTTTTTTGTTGAATCCAGATCATATGAAACTACAATCACTAGTAACCATAGTTTTGTTTTTTTGTTGAAACAGTATACGGTAGAAGTTCTACTGGATATATTAGAAGAAGAGAGTTGACTCTATTTATAAGGGAAACCGGGATCGAAAACCATACAACTGCACGGTTTGCTAAGAGAAAACCGACAAAACCTTACACAGAAGACACAGAAAACCTGTGACAAAACTACGAACCACATAAGTAACCGAGAGAGTAGCAAGACCTTCAAGACGAAGCCTCCAAAGAGGTGAACAACGACAGAAGCTCCTGCCGACACCTGCCCATAGCTAGACTGGGTTTTCACCTAAGGGAGGAGACCAACCATAGTTTTGTAGGACTAGTTAAATCTAACCTTCGGTAGTTGACTACTCTTTTACTCCAACCAGCTTTTAAAGATAAATCTGAATAAATACTTGTATAAATTTATACCTTAAAAATTAATATTTTTTTAACGGAGGAACAGAGGTTGTACACGCATCATCATTCAACAGATGAGCTACTACGCAGTATAAGAACTCAAGAAGTAGCAGTGCAGTACTAGAACAAATTAATTAAGGTTCAAGTCATGGGGTTTCCGTTTCCTCGTCTCATGAGATCTTGTTTTGGACCTTTGAGGCGTACGTCGTTTTCAGAAAACGTTCTAATTCGCTTCACGTATTTGACCACACGGGCTCGTTTTTTTTTCAAGTCAAAATAGCTAGCCTAGTACGACTGCGTTGCTCCCTGTCCGATTCACCTGTTTCTGATTCCACTCGACATTGCCCACAAGATCCTTCTCCAGACCTTCCCGCCAACCACCCTACTTTTATGCAACGTGTTAAATTTTGCTAAAGCAGTTTTTTTTATCATTTTTCATCCAAATATTTTTTTTGTTAGCTTTCATCAGTCATTTAAAAGTGCATATATAGTAAAAAAAATAAAACATATTAATTCTCCAATACTCAGGTTTTTCTTGCAAAGATTTACAGAAAAAATATTTTTTTATTTTCTTCATTTTTATTGTATATAAGGCATTAAGGCTTACCTAGATTTAGTTTGTTTTCTACTAGTTATGCATGGATTATTTTGTTTTATAGGTGTTAAATCCCCCCATTTGCACTTATCTTAAAGTAAGAGTAGTTAGTTGATTGATTATTTGTTCTTGGGTAGCCAAACAACAGACAAACGGTGTACACTGACCATGGAAGGTAAAAGAACTTGTGAATCAAGGTTGACAAAATTCCAGTTATGTAAGTAATAGACTCTTATATTAAGGGAAATTAATATACATCATCACAAACAAAGTAATTAACCTAAAAATAATAAAATATTGAAATGCATGCCATCATGTCATTTACCAACTTGACGGTAAGAATCATATGACCTTGATATTCATCTTGTACAATTAAACCTTTTCAATATGTTTTCTTTTGAGAACCAGAATTTTCAATATGTCATTTACCAACTTGACAGTAAGAAATCATATGTTTTCAATATGTCATATGAACCCTTTCAACTTGTGCCAAAATAATATATCCTTTTTTATTTTGGAAAATGAAGATAAAATATGTTTATTCCTATATATATCTTATGTATTAGAATATTTCTTGTTGTTTCTTCGTGATAGCCAGGCGCCTGAGAAGCAGAGATTATAGTTTAGGCATAAAAGACCAGAATGTATATTGGTCTAATAACAAGGGCCGGCAATACAAACTTGGTATAAAATCGTATGATACGGAAGTCTCTCACGTATACGGTTCCTTGGAAAGAAAGAAGCTACCAATTGGACTTTCACCAAATGTATATATATTTGTAGCTCGAAGTTTCCTTTTAAGTATATGTTGTCTACCTGCTGAAATATTAACACCTAAATCTTGCTGGTCTGTGAAATATACATTTATTGTCATCACATTATTACATTTCTTTATATGTGCATCAACTACATATGCATCTCCACAAAAGGCCCATTTAATTCCATTTTCCAATAGCCCAAGTAAATTTCCTTGGACTGGATATTGGACCTTCAAAGTTCTTGCATGATACATTTGGGATAGCAATGGAGTTATAGAAATCACTTTTCATCTCTGATCATTTAGGGCCCGTTTGGTTTATCAACAAAGGCTAGCATAGCCTTACCTAGGAAGGCTAGTTGTCTGGAACCGGTAAAAAAAAACTTGCTTTTAGGAGCGAACTAACCTTGCAAGGTGAGAAAAATCTCGCTGGTCAGGGAGAACCGATTCAGCTCGCCTTTGATGGCAAAACCCCAAGCGCACACAAAAAAAGAAAGCTCTATTCACATGAAAAATTGAGATAAGATGAGAGCGGTCCGGGCTTCTTCGAAATCAGAGATATTTTTCAACAACTTGCCCCAATCTCATCGGCCTCTTCCCCCACCTTTTGTTGGTGAAGTCTTTCGCTGAAATCATCCTCTCCCACCTACCCATAAGCCGCAGTCACCTGGAAACTATCTCCTTACAATAGTGAGACAACAGGGTATCTAATCGTACCGAAATAATTGTTTATTACTTTTTTTTCTTTTTCTTTACTTCCATGTAATAAAATTTCTTTAATAAATGTTAAGAGTTAATTTTGAGTCGATGTCATGCAAAGTAACGATGGTTGCTTTTCCTCCATTCTCTTTCTTCCACATCACCAAAATTATTTACATGCATGGTAACAAAGAGCTTGTTACTAAACACTGTTATACATGCCCTAATAACCGTAGTGAACTATTACCATCACAGAGTTGATATTACAACGACATCCTTACCCTTCTCTTCCTCTCATGCACCAATAGATGGTGCATCAATGTGAGGACGCTATGTGAGGGAAACGTGTTTTAGACTCTTGAGAAGATATCCCCTCTTTTGTTCAAGCACTATCTAAATGATTGTTAAAAAATCTCAAGAAAATGACAACATTCACAACACATATATAAACTTCTCAAAAGAAAAAAAGAAGTCAAAACTCAACTTTGACGGAATGATAGATGTTACAAAACTCTACATTATCAATATTTTTTTAGAGTTCTTCAAAAACTACTTACATTGAAATTGAGAGAAAAACTTAGACGAGGGGGACATCCCCTCCTCAAGGGATTAGAATTCTCTCACACATTAAAATTGAGAGAAAAAGTTAGACGAGGGGAACATCCCCTGCCCCCTCGAGGGATTAGAATCCTCTCCCGCTATGTGAGCTTAGAGCTCAATGACAACTCCAAATGAAGAACGTACTCACAAAAGATCGAGGGAAATTTCAATACAATCCACTTCAAAACATCAACCCAAATTATAAAAATGTCACTGCAAAAAGCATAGCGATCGACCTTACCGTTGGTTTGTCTATATTAAGCATTTCCATGCATCCAAGTCCATTCGATCTCGTTAATGGAAAGCTGGAGTTGTACTTCAATTATCCAAAAATACTAAGCATTTCCTAGATACACATTTTGATGCAAGCCCTCACACAATCTCTGTTACAGTTTTGTTGATTTTTGATTCCATCTGCTAGAATCAGAAAAGGGGATGCAGTTCTTCTGATGTACAATTGACTGATACGATTGCACCATCTCTTAATTTACAATTAAATCTGCCACTCATATAATTGCATTCAACTGATGCAAATATGAACGATTGCATAAAAGTGTGTTAACATGCATGCAAAAACAGTATGGTGTGCCAATATAATTAATGTGCAAACAGTGGCATGAAAACCATAGTGCATGATATATATATATATATATATATAT